AATTTAAAGCGCCAAAATCTCTGTGATGCACACGTGGCATTGAAAACACTCATGTCTCTGAGTTCCTGTGATCCATCTTGTTTGGGAAGTGATGTAATCCAGGTCAAAGCAGCAGTGCTTCCTGCTCTTCCCCCTTCTGCCTTGCTCTTGGTGGTGCCAGAGATGAGGATCTTCCTGGAGCAGTGACAAGGCTGAGCTGTTTTTTTGGGGTAATGCAGTTCTGCTTTCTGTTTCCAGGCTGTGGCACACAGCTTGTGCCAGTGAGGAGGGAGAGGTGATTGTCTTTGGGGGCTGTGCCAACAACCTACTTGCCCATTCTAAAGCTGTAAGTGGATTTTGAGCTTTTCTTTTCCATGGGAGCTGTGGGGCTTGGTCAGTCCTGAGAGTGTGAGGGGGTTGGAGTCTTGTGGGGATTACAGAGGTGCATAAACAGAGCCTGAGGGGTGAATGGTTTGCTCATGTCTAGTGCAGATGCCTGAAGGCTTCCTCTAGTGGAAGGTGTCCCTGCCCATGGCACAGGCTGGAATGGGATGGGCATTAAGGTCCTTCCAACCCAAACTAGTCTGGTTGTGTGAGCACAGGCTGGTTTGGCTCCTGCTGTAACTGTGAATCCACATGACCAAACTCCACTCTCTCTCCTCCTCAGGCTCACAGTAATGAAATCCTTGTGTTTTTCCTACAACCAAGATCTCTTGTAAGGTAAGAAAGCAAAACTTCAACATCAAACTGTCCTGTCACCAGCTGAGACATTGGCAAGGAATTGTTGGCTGTGCTGAGGCTCTGGCGCAGGTTACCCAGAGAAGCTGTGACTGCTCCATCCCTGGGAGGGTTCCAGGCCAGGTTGGATGGGGCTTGGAGCAATCTGGGCTGGTGGAAGGTGTCCCTGCCCATGGCAGGGGGTGGGACTGGATGAGCTTTAAGATCCCTTCCAAACCATCTGGGATTCTAAGCCACGTGTTGCAGGGTTACCACCAGACCCATTTTTTTATGTTGCTAAACCACTTGAAAACGTTTCTTCCTCTAAATACTGCTGGCAGAGCAGCAGCTGGATGTGAGGCTAGAGCAGGATGCATTTGGCACTGCTGCTGAGCTCAAGCCCTCACCAACAGCTGTAAGGACTCAGCCAGGGCTCAGGGATACCACCGAGGCTCAATTGCTAATGGTCCTTCCCAGCCTAAGCAGCACAGGTTGTCTGTCCAGAGAAACTCTGCAGCCTCCTCCATGCTAATAGCATCCCTCTCTTCCGTGTCTCCAGGCTGTGCCTGGAAGCAGTGATCTGCTTCAAGGAGATGCTGGCCAGCTCCTGGAATTGCCTCCCCAAGCACTTGCTGCACAGCGTCAACCAGCGCTTCGGCAGCAACAACACCTCAGGCTCCTGAGCCCTGGGACAGCACCAGGAGCAGTTCCAGGGAGTGATATTCCCACTCTTCCCACGTGTGGCAAACAGTAAAGGTGTATAGATTAACCCTCTGTGTTGTCCCTAGGTAGTTGCTTCTTGCCTTTCCATTGCATGTGAATGGCCTAGAGAGAACCTATTTTTGTGTCCAGATGTTTGCAATAAATGTATTTAATGCAAGTGGAGATGTAGCCTTTGTGCTTGAGCTGGAAGTAGTGCTGGGGGTGAGCACCCTGAGGCAGCTCCGAGGTGACCCTGAGGGGTGTGTGCACAGAGATACAAGTGGGGCGATCCCCAGTGAGGACTTGGGTGGCTGTGCAAGGAATGCTGAGCACACCACAACTCTGCAGTGTTGCTTTAAGGTTCTGTGCCAGGTGACCAGTTCTGTTGTAGTCCACAGCATTAGGAAAGCATCTGCTGAATGTTCTGCTTAAGGTCAGAGGAGCAGGAGCTGGAAATTGTCCACTGTCAGTCCATAAACTGTGATAAAGCTGCAGATGTTAAAGTACCACTGCTCTCTGCTTGGCTGTAGTTTGGGGTTTTTGGGACTCTTTTATGTTGTGGAATTGCAATTGTGAACTTTAGGTAGCAGATATTCTGCCCTGAGAGTGGAACTGAAAGGGTTTGAGCTTGGGCCTGACCTGTGGAGCTCTCCTACCTCTGGAGCAGCCTGAAGGACTCACAGGGGTGGGGGCACAGGCAGGGGCTGTGCTGCCTTGGCTGATCCAGCTCCATGTCAGCAGGTGCCACAGGGGACAAGGCCAGGCCATGCTGCTGTGGGGAAGGGGAGAATCATGTTTTAAGCTGTCTTCAAAAAGCAATTAAAGACTTGGACTTTAGAACAATTCCTGTACTGTAATAATTCCTGTCCTGTAAATCCTGCCCTGGTTTCAGAGCTGAGCTGGGGTTCACTCACACAGCCCAGGGGTTTATCCTGACTCTCAGCCTCAGCTCCTCCTCCTCTCCAAAGGTAATAGCTCTGCACACAGCTGGGCTGGGGATGGGAGCTGGAGGTACTCCAGGGGACAGGATCTGGGCCTGCACCTTCCCTCTCTCCCCAGCCAAGGGAATGTTTGGGGAAAACAAAGCATTTTGCCCTGAAACTGCCCTGCTGGAAGCTCCAGCCCTGCCAGAAGCAAAGGGCAGGAAGAAAGTGAGCACCACAGGGTTTTGCTGCCCCAAATTCCAAGGCCTTTGCTCAGTGGAGGGGAATGAGTGCTTGAACAAGAGAACCAATGGCCTGGGAGGCCATTCCTGCCCCAATGCCACTATTTACTTCCATGTTTATATGCTGTTTGCATCAGAGTCCATCTAAACCACACTGCAGGAGCTGGTCCTTGCTGCCTGACACTGTGGAAGCTGAGTTCAGTCCCATTGACAGCAGTCCCAGTGCTGTGTCTGTCTGTCCCAGCTCCAGGTGCTGGTTCTGCACTGCTGGTTTGGGGATGAGAACCTCCAGCATGGAATCATTTCTTCTTCCTGTTCAGGAGATGAGGTGCAGACACTTTCACCTTCCCAGGAATATTTCTTGACAAGTCTGTGTCCTAGAAAACATTGAAGAGGAGAAATTGAGCACAGCAGAAAAGCAATTAACAGACACCTCTCTCAGCCCTGAGCACAGAGGTTAGGTGTCCTCAGCTCCTGGGGAACACCTTGTTGGGGGACAGGGGCAGGAGACAGCCCATGGTGAGGGACACAGGACACTGACTCCAGCCTAAACTCCCAGAGGAAGGACCCAGGTTGCCCGGGGAGGCTGTGGCTGCCCCAACCCTGGCAGTGTTCAGGCTGGATAAAGCCTTGAGCAACCTGCTCTGGTGGGAGGTGTCGCTGCCCAGGGCAGGGGGTTGGCACTGGATCATCTCTAAGCTCCATTCCAATGCCTTCACATACTATGATTCTATGAAACCTGCCCCAGGAATTCCCCTCCCAAAACTCAAGGACTCTGGGAAGATGCTGGTTTTGCCATGTATTATTTTAGACCAAGAGTGACACAACACAGACACTCAAGCCCCAGTGATTCACTGAGGTCCAACTTCTACTGCTGCTACGCAGCCTAAGAAGCACAGGTTGCCCAGAGAAGCTGATTCCCATCCCTGAAGTGTCCAAGGCCAGGTTGGATGGGGCTTGGAGCAACCTGGGCTGGTGGAAGGTGTCCCTGCCCATGGCAGGGGGTGGAACTAGATGATCTTGAAAGTCCCTCCCAATCTCACTGAGGGTGCTGAGGCACTGGCACAGGTTGCCCAGAGAAGCTGTGGCTGCTCCATCCCTGGAATTGTTCCAGGCCAGGTTGGACAGGGCTTCTCTGACCTTCCCCAGCAGTACTGACAAACAGCACTGCTGGGAAAAAAAGCAACAGCACAAGGACTCTGCAGGATGAGGACTCACCTTGACGCTGCGGAACAAATCCTTCTCCCTTGCACTTGCTTCTTTGGACTGCATGAAATTGTGCAGGGCAATCTTGGCAGCTGTAAAAGCACAGGGAAGAGTGAAACAGCTCGGAAAACCACACTGGCTCCACCAGGCAGAGCACTAAAAAAGCATTCATGGCTTTCACACCATACCTTTGCCCTTCTTTTGGGTGCCTGGAGTGAGCTTGACTTTATACCTGTCCAAGAAAAGGTTTCTCTGAGTAAAACACAGGCTGCCACCAAACCTCTCCCCAGAACATGCTGCCACTTACTTGTAGTTGGTCATGGCTGTGTAGGGAGCACAGATGGGGACAGCAAAGAGCAGGATGTCCTCAGGATGTGGCTGTCCAGTCAGGGAGTCCAGCAGGGCCTCACCATCCTGAGCAGGCAAAGAGCCTCACTGAACCCAGCAGTCCTCCAGCCTCACTGCTGGTGGCACTGGGGGCTGAGGGGTCCCATCACTTGATGTATCTTAGCCTTGGGACCCCCAAATGTAGTTACATCTTCACAGGGTCACCCAAAGCTTCCTCTGACAGACACAGTTATCCTCCTCCATTAATGAATGTAAAGGAACTGACTTAGACCCAGCCTTGGGCAACACCCACAGCCTCTAATTATAGAAAGGCTGAAGCAATTTTAGATGTAAATAAACTAACAAACTCAAGAACAACCTGCACTGCACTTCGTGCCATCCTCCAGCCCAGAGCCACTGGCAGCACCTCTGGGGGCAGAAGGAAGGGACAAACAGCCACCTCTGGCTTTATGGAGGACATGGAGATGGGCAGGGCAGGAAGAAAAGGAGTTGATTAAACCAAGTTCAAACAGTCCTGAGGGACTTCTGGAGGGTTCCCACACCCCCCCAGCAGGAACACAGCCCTCAGCACTTAGGGAGCTGCCAGACAAACATTTACCTCCACTCCTGGCTGGTCCTGGTCCTGCTCCTCCTGCACACACAAACAAAGGCCATATCAGAGCTGGAGTGAGCACACAGCTGCTTTTTCCACCCTCTGTCCCATGAGAAAATCAATTCTTTTAGCAGCGGCACCCAGAAATCCACATTGTCCCTGCAGAGAGCTGAAATCACTTCAAATCAGAGGCAAGAGCAGCATTTTGAGATGGGTGTGGGGTGGAGCATTTCTTTCCAACCTCTAATTTGCCTGGCACACGCCGAGGTGGGAGGAAAGATGAGGCTGAGAGATAATGACTCACAACTGAGCTGGGAGTGTTGGGTTACACTGCCGCTGAGGGGGAGGTGTTGACTGAACTGGATCCTCGGGACTCCTGCCAGCCCCAGTCCGGGCTGTACTGGGAACACGACCTGCACACACACTGCTGCAGGGCTTTGGGAAACCTACAGGCTCCCTGAGTCGTGGCATTGGGCACAGCATTCTCCACAGGTGCTCCAAAACCATGGGCAGCTGCTCAGCCTCCCTGGCAGAAGAGCTACAGAGTGGCAGGAGAGCCAACAGCAAGGGACAGATGTGTGGACAGATGAGGTCAGTGTGCTGCTCCTCACCTTCCCACTCTGCCCTTCACCTCATCCTGCTCCTCACCTTCTCATCCAGCTCTTCCAGGGCTGGGTCCTGTGCCTCATGCAGCAGG